CCCCCCCCGCCCCAACGGCCCAGGGAAGGGGAGGCAAGCAGGGTGGACCCAACGCCCCAAGCTTCCAGCCTCCCTGGCGCCGGCCGTGAAGTTCAGCCGGCGCCGTGGGCCACAGTCGTGATAGTCCGACCGGGACACTCACTGTCGTGTACCCCGGAGATGTTTTTGGATCCGCCCCGACAGTGCTCACTCCCGTCGTGGTTACGGGAACCCCCCTTCCTCTCCATTCGGGGAGCGCCTCCGCCTGTGGCCCGGCGGCCTTCTCTTGGCCGCCAGCCCCTTTCTACCGATGGCGCATGCGGTACCACCCATACGGTAGTCTGCGTCGCATCCCTCATCGCAGCACACCGCGCAGGACGCGCCTTCTGCGCATCCCGCGCGATATACCCGGCCCGGCCACACATAAATCAGTCAACATCTCTAACACTGGAGTGGACGACTGGACAGAAACTTCACCCGAGCTGTCGTCCACCCCAGCGTCAGCCTCCCTTCCTTGGCGACGGTTATTGCCGCTGCCAGGGAGAGCTGCACCCACGCAGCCCCCATACCCCTCCGACCCCCTTCGGAGGGGTACGGGGCCCAGCCGCATCCTCCGCAGGCGGCGAGGGAATCCACGACCTCGTCGGGGAGAACCGACTCGTCTATTCTGACGATTCCGATCTCCCCCGCCCTCGACGGCCTGGAGACCCTTGCCTCCAGCACCACTTCGCGGAGCTTCTTGACAAAGGTCTCCGCGTTGCCCTCTCTTTGAGAACCGGTCAGTCCTATGAGGAGGCTACCATCTGCGGCCCGCCTTACGAAGGCCGCGCGGCCCCCAATGTCTTTCTGAAAGATAGTCTTCTGGGTCTTATTCAAGACTTTTGCGTACGTGGAAGTCCTTCTCCCAATCTTACAGCCACCATCACCGTTCTCGGCGGCGATAGCAACCTACTAGTTGGGCGCGACGCCGGGGGATTTGCGACGGAACCCCCTACCTACGTGACCCCACGTTCCCCAACAGTCTCCACACTTCCATTGGCTGTTGAGATGGCATGTCTTTCCTCCTTTTCCTTCCTCGCTTCCCTGTCTCCCACTCGCCTCAGTTTGAAGAAGCAGGAGCCCGACGCTCACCTTCGCCGACCAGCGCCTCCCTACCACCGAAGGCAGCACACCGGAGCGAAGACGTTGCCCGGTCACGCCTGCTCAGCACGACTCCGGAGAGTGGCGACGTCTGTCGGTTCCGCCTGTCCGGCGCGACGTCCGGAAACGGCGACGTCGCTCGGTCTCGCACCTCCGCCTTTGCCCTAGCTCTCCTCAATTTCTCCCTGAGATGAGCGATTTCATCATTAAAGTGTTTCACCTCACCCCTCGCCTTTTCCTTCTCTACCGCTTCCACTTTGCATGTGATCCTCCACTCCTCTATCTACTCCTCTTCCTCCAACTCCTCTACCCTCCTTTCCATATCCTTCTTTGCAAACGTCTCTTCCATCCTCCTGTTATCCATGATGCGGGCGTTTCCCTTGACATTCTATCGGATGCCATCAATCGCCCTCCACACCGCCATAAGCGACCGATGATACGCCGCGCGATCGTCTCCCCCCATGCTCCTGCAGCGTTTGAGGAAGTTCTCCACGTTCTGCTATTCTGCGAAGAACTGCCATTGCTTCTCCATCTTCTGCAACCATCCCTGGACGTCAACATTCGCTGGCGTCTCAACGTCTAGTTCTTGACGGCCCTCCTCTACGGTCGTATGCGGTGGTCCCTTCTCCCCCCGCGTCGGCTCCTTTAACTTTTTCTTTCTCCTCTTTTTCCTCATCCCTCCCTGCGTCTTCAGCGACGACGACGACAATATTTGTGATGTCGCCTTTCTCCTCCTGCTCTCCTCTACTCCAGTGGATTTAGAACTCATAATGGAGTTTCTCCCACCATCCCTCCTTCAGCTCTGGTGCCCGGCGTATCCCGAACTAAGTCCGGAGTGAGTCCCAGCGTACTCGCTGGGATGCACCATATGTCGCGGGTCCCCGGAAATATGCGCACAGAGACACGAGTCTCCGAGCCCCCAAAGAGGGGCCGAGCCGGTTTCAAGAGTCCCACATCTCCGATAATGTGGGCACCGAGAGGGGAATGCCGTCACGCGTGGGACCCACGGACGGTCTAGTACCAAAGGAGTTACAACCCTCCCAAAGTCGAACCGCCGTGGCGTCAACTACTCCTCCGTCCGGGACAGCAGCTTTACAATGTTGCCATCGCTGCTCCACAGGCTTCCTCCCTCCGCTGTAAAAGTCGCCCCGACCGACCACCCAGTGGGCACATCGGCCGTGCCGACCGCTAATACTCTCGGGCGCAGCGGCCCACCCGAAATAGACCGGTAGCCTCCCTGGCTTTTGAGGTCCGGCCTCCTCCGCTGTGGGTTCCGGTTACCCACACCAGCCGCCCTGTGGACGAACCAGGCACGATCCCCTTCCTCTAATATTCCCGCACGCAGCTGCCCACTCGAGAGACCGGTTGCCAACAGGCATTAAGAACCCGGTTGCCCCCGCTGTAGGGTCGGGTCACCCGCATCGGTCGCCCTATGAACGAACCGAGCACAATCCCCTTTCCTGATACTCCTGAGCGCAGCTGCCAGCCCGGGAGGCCGGTACCAGACTGGTATGAAGGTTGCGGCACGCACCCTTGCTGTGGAATCTTCGATACCGTACATTGTGAGGGAATGTCCTCTCGGGCATCCCCGAACAATGCGCGGTCTCCATCCGATCCCTAATACTCATAGGCGTAACAACCCACTCATGAGGGCCTTTTAGTCGGTTCTTACGACACGCAGGCTATACGTTGGGAGTATTCTAAAGGTCACACCCACACACCGAATCCGGGACACTCTGTATTATAATTCGCCAATCATTGAACCACTAATCGAGAAATGATTAATCACTACTGTTTCTTTAATAATTACCAGTACTTTTCTGTGAGCGCTTTACATGTGAATACTTTCCACATGTACTCCTCATTGGTTCCACAAATTGTACACATTAATTCCATACACTTTCCGCATACATTTTATATACTATTCTCGTACATTTTCTACACTAATTCTGCACACTTTCCGCATGCACTACTTTCGCACACTTTCTACATGCATTTCGCACATATTTAGTAATTTTTCACATTATGTTAACTTTATCTGTGCTGTATACACAATATTGTATGTTGTAATTCTGAGCTCGGAATTAGTTGCTTATTTCGGCCGATTTTCGGGAGCTACGCCTTCTATCTTCACTTTGCCACGAGCGGGTCATGTAAGTGACGGTCGCGGCTTCAAGCTTTAAGCCACGATTGGCCGCGACTGTCACTTGCGCGGCCCGCTTGCGGCAAGAGGAAAATAGAAGGCGCAACTCCCGAGAATCGGCCAAAATAGGCAACAAATCCCAAACTCTATTGTAATTATTTCGTAGCGATTCTATAACGGTTATTCTATAACGATATTATATTGGGAGTGTGCATTAATTTTAAGGGATTTTTTGGTAAAAATACAGCTTTATTGTGAAAAAATGGTTACAAATTGATCATTCAAAATATTGTCCATCGCTAGCCACTACTTTTTCCATCTTCCTAATAATAATAAATAATAATAATAAGTAATAATAATAAGTTCTAATAGTAATAAGTGGATTCCACGTCAAAAGAACGACACATCTTTTGAGGCTATCCACGAATCGACCCATTTTTTGGTATCATAAGAATGGAAGCGCTGCTCAGACAGGCTATGAGTCATCGATCGAAATAGATGGTAATCGGAAGGAGCAATATCTGGAGAATACGGCGAGTGTGGTAGGACATCCCAGTTAAGCGCTTTTAACGTTTCCTTGACCGGTTTCGCAACATGTGGCCGAGCGTTGTCGTGCTGGAAAGTCACTTTATCGTGTCTTTTCGCGTAATCTGACCGTTTTTGCTTCAATGCTCGGCTTAATTGCATCAGTTGTTGTTGGCAGCATTCCCCAGTGATGGTTTCGTTGGGTTGGAGCAGTTCATAATACACTATACCCAGCTGATCCTACCAAATACAGAGCATGAGCTTGGCGCCATGAATATTCGACTTTGCCGTCGATGTTGATGGTTCGCCTGGCCTGCACCATGATTTCTTGCGCTTCGGATTATTGTAGCGTATCCAGTTTTCATCACCCGTCATGATACGATGCAAAAAACTTTTTCTTCTGTGTCTTTGACGTAACAATTCACAGGTCATTTTGCGCCTTTCGACGTCCCTTTTCAACTCGTACGGTACACAATTTCCTTGCTTTTGAATCATTCCAATGGCCTTCAAACGTCTGGAAATCATTGATCGATCAACATTTAATGATTCTGCAAGTTCTTCTTGCGTTTGACTCGGATCTTGATCGAGTAAAGCTTCCACTTCCTCATCTTCAAACTTTTTCAGCTGGCCTGGACGTTCCTTGTCTTCCGTGTCAAAATCACCTTTTTTATAGCGTCGAAACCAGTACTCACATTTCGAAATCGATGGAGTATAATCATCATAAGCTTCCAACAACATTCGTTGACTTTCAGCAGCACATTTCTTCAAGTGGAAGCAAAAAAGCAAAGCTTCCCGCAAATTGCGTTTTGTTGGCACAAAATTCGATATATTCAATGCTCAAGAAAACAATGTTGTTTATACTTTGGCAAAATGACACATACTGAAAACTAAAGTCACATGATGGTGCTTTAACATGAAGGTAGCAACAATATGGCCCGATGCGATATAGTACTAATTACGCCATCTCTTGAAAATCCTTTAAAATTATTGCACACTCCAAATATATACAGGATTTCCCACACTTTCCTTATCACATTAAGTGGGAATGTAGAATGGGTTAAGGTGAACATAAAAGTCCTATATCATTTTCAGATATTCGCAATATAATGGAGAAATTAATTGTAAAAGATTAAGGAAAAACGCATGCTGAATGGTTGAGGATGGAGCGCTCGCGGTCTAATAATATAGCGCACGGATGTCGGCGCACGATGATTGGAAAAACAACGCCCAATTGCCTATACTTATATCGTTGCACTCTTACATCTCACCTCGATGCAGTGCGGCAAGTCCTAAGATCAGAGCGATAAGATGGGCGCTAATGTTTGCCTGCTATATTACTGGGTCGCAAGCGCTCTTCCCTCAACCATTCTACATTAATTTTTTCCTTAATCTTTTACAATTAATTTCTCGGTTATTATTGCGAATATCTGAAAACGACTATAGGACTTTCATGTTCACCGAACCCGTTCCACATTCCCACTTAATGTGATAAGAGAGTGTGGGATATCCTATGTGTGTATGTGTGTGTGTATTAACTCCCAAAGAAGCGGTACACTAAAAATGTGGAAAAAAATCTCCAAATTTCAAATGACGAAAACTTCATCAATAATAAAGATAAAAAGGATTTCCAAAACAGAAAATGACGCTTGAAATCTCTATTTTAAGATTCAATTAACGTCAATTCTGCGAGATAAATTTATTATAAATAGCGGATGACAAAGTAAGAGCATATGTAATTGGAAAAGAATGTTTCGAGTTTTCGATGGTGCACGGCGTAAACAAAAATTTTCAACTTAAATTGAAAAGAAGGGTATGAAAGCACAGAATTTCCTCTTTTAAATACTTTTTTATACATCTTAGTATGACCAATTTTTGCGCAGTTGTTTGAACTTGAAGTAGCCAACTACTTTTTTTTCAAATGAAAGTATTTCGGCAAAAAAATATCGTATCGAGATGAATACAAAAACATTCTAAAGAGGAAATTCTATACTTTTACATGCTTTTTATCCCATTGAGTTGCGACATTTGACTCTCGCCATGTGTTGTTATAAACTCGACTATTATTTTCCAATTTTGCATCCCCTCGCTTTATCATCCGCCATTTTGGAAAAAAACTGTTGCCCATTATTATATTGTAAATTTTCAAAAACTAGAAATCCGAATCTTTAAAATGGTTTTTTAGAAATTCTATTAGTTGTGTTAGGTGCCGAGATATTCAATTTTGAATTTTGAATCAGGCCGAACATTTAAAATTACTTGGAGTAAAAAGTTACCTTCTTGACTTGCGACTTCTGCCTGATGCTGAGTGCATTCTTCTTATGTCAATAAAATAAGCAAAAAAACCCAGCAAACCAATACCGTATCTATATACCAGTAATATAACATAGATATATAATGTCAGCACAACCATGTGGTTTGTTATGTAACTGTTACAAGTTACATAACACATATATATATATATAT